GCAAACATTTTTCCACAAGCTAGAATCACCCTTCTTTGCCAAAAAAGGGAATTACTCCTATTACCACTCTTGTATTTGGCAAAAAGCACCTGCACCCACAGCTGGTCTGGCTCAGTATAAATTTTCCACGCTTTTTTGGCCAGAAAAAACATCATTCATCTTAATCAAATTCCTCAACCCGAGACCACCAAGAAGTTTAAGGGATGTGACTATATTCCAGTTAATGGGATGGTGTCTACGAGTATTTACTTTATCCCCCCAAATAAAATTTCTTTGCAGCATCTCTATATTCTCAGACACCATCAAGGGAAGCTTACAACTTTGCATTTGGTAAGATGGAATTGCAGCCAAAACAGATTGGGATAAAGTGATCTTACCCGCTTAAGAAAGACATTGTTGCTCCCAACTGCTAAGCTTACTCTTAACTTTTTCCACCAACCCTCCATATAAATTCTTAGGAACTCTACCTTGCCGCATCATAGCTCTAAGATACCTACCTACAGTATTAGCACGCTTAAAGCCGCTTATTTGGACAACTTTCTCCATAGTCTCCATTGTGGTATTTTTAGAAAAATACACACAGGTTTTTTCCACACTCAGTTTTTAACCAGACATCTCCTCAAAGATAGTGAGACACTTGAGAAGGATGTGAATTTGCTCTTCAGACGCTTCCATAAACATCATAAGATCATCTGCAAAAGCAAGATGAGATATCTTCGGACCGTCTTTTCCAACATGCATAGGCTTCCACAAACCCTCATTTACTGCAGTAGAAATAATATGACTCGGTTTTTCCATAGCCAGAACAAACAGGTATGGTGAAAGGGGATCCCCCTGCCTTAAACCTTTAGAAGGAAAAAAATCTTCAGTTTTACCCCCATTCCAGAGAACATTGATGCAAGTAGAAGAGATGCACTGAGTAATAATGTTAACAAAAGCATCAGGCAAATGAAGCTCTTCTAAAGTTTTACGCAGAAAAGACCAACTCACCCTATCATAAGCCTTTACAAGGTCAATTTTAATTGCCATATAAGTTTTCTTCCCTCTCATCTTGCTCATCAAATGAACTAACTCTTGAACAATAGAAATATTATCCTGAATTTGTCTATTCGGGACAAAACTAACCTGATAAGGAGACACCACCTTTTCCATCACATGCTTCAGCCGAGAGACAATAATTTTAGAAAAGAGCTTATAGATAACCGAGCAGAGAGAAATCAGCCGGAATTGAGAAATACACTCTGGATTCCTTACCTTTGGAATGAGAACTAGAAGAGTAGGGTTAACCTCCGATATTGAAGCTGGATTGAACCACATCTTCTTAATAGCTGCACAAACCTGCAATTTCAATTTAAGCCAATTTCTTTGAAAGAAAACCGCAGGGAAACCATCAAAACCAGGGGCTTTAAAGGCTCCCATTGAAAACATATTCTGTTTGATCTCATAATCACTAGGGGGAATGACCATTCTCTTCAAATCATCTTGAGATAAAACGGGCCACATATTTTCTGAAATAATCCATACATCATTTTGATTTATTAAGGGACTTGCTGTATAAGCTTATATTATACGATGGTCACACAAAACAACTAAAAATCTCATAACATATAATATTAGTTTATACTATCAAGCCTTATATATCACATCAAGCAGAACCTTAGCTACATCAATACTTGTAAAGAATGTTTAACTAATTTATATCTTTTTTTTGTTTTTTATAAGTTTGTTCTGAAATATGATAGAATATTGAGACTCAAATTGAAACACGTAACAAATACTGAAAAAAGGAATACAATATTTCTTTAACACATCAACACCCTTATAACACCACTAATTAACTACTCATAATGTCATAACGTCAGCCATTATGTCCCTAATAAACATAACAATTTAACTTCATAACTCACATAAGAAAAACCAAAAGACAATTAACTCTTCAATATTGTAACTGACACAAGAAACTAAAAAGACTTCAACATTCCCTCCTTTAAATTGATATTTGCTAACAATCAGCTTAAAGTTACAGACACCTAATAATCTTCTTAACTTCACAAATGACTCCATCTTGAGAGCTTTAGTGAATATATCAGCAATCTGATCTTCACTCCTGCAGTAGATTAAATCAATAGCTCCATCATTACAAAGATCTCTTAAAAATAAAACTTCACATCAATGTGCTTGCTTCTTCCATGTAGCATAGGATTCTTGGATAATCTAATTGCTGAATTATTATCACACATAATTTGAGTAGCTTTGAGTTGCTTGAATTGAAGCTCCTCAAGAATTCTCCTTAGCCAAATGGCTTGGCATGCACAAGCTGTAGCAGCAACAAATTCAGCTTCTGTGCTTGACAAAGTGACAATTGGTTGCTTCTTCGATGCCCAAGAAACAACACATGTACCAATCATAAAAACATAACTTGATGTGCTCTTCTTGTCATCTTGATCTCCTGCATAATCACTGTCAGTAAATACCACTAAATCAGATTTTACACCATTCTTGTAAAATATCCCAAAATTTTTTGTTCCTTGCAAGTAGCGAAGGATTCTCTTGGTTGCCAACAAATGCATTTCTATAGGATTCTCCATATACCTGCTAATTAAACTCACAAAATACATTATGTATGGCCTTGTTGCAGTGAGATACATCAAGCTTCCCGCAATTTGTTTGTAGAAGGTACTGTCAACCTTCTTTCCTCCATGATCTTTGTGTAGCTTCAAGCCACATTCAACTGGAGTGTGCACAGGATTACAATCCTTCATCTGAAACTTGTCTAGAATATCTTCCACATATTTATTGTGAGAAATAAAAATTCCATCACTTGATTGTGCTACACTTATGCCAAGAAAGTAATGCATCATACCAAGATCAGTCATTTCAAACTCATTCATCATAGACGTTTTAAATTCTTCAAACATAACATCAGAATTTCCAGTGAATATGAGATCATCTACATATAAGCAAACAATAAGCATTTTTCCTTCATCGCCAATCTTAACAAAAAGTGTATGTTCATAAGGACACTTTATAAAACCAGACTTAAGAAAATAAGACTCAATGCGACTATACCAAGCTCGAGGGGCTTGTTTTAGTCCATAAAGTGCCTTTTTCAGTTTGTAAACTTTATGCTCATTTCCAACCTTCTCATAACCAGGGGGTTGTTCAATAAATATTTGTTCCTCGAAGTACCCATGCAAGAATGCCGATTTGACATCTAGCTGGTAAATAGGCCAAGAATTTTGTGCAGCCAATGCAATCACCAACCTGATTGTATAATGTCTTGATACAGGAGCAAAAACTTCTGTATAATCAATCACATATTGTTGCTTGTACCCCTTGACAACCAAGCATGCTTTGTGCTTGTCAATTTCACCATTTTCCTTTAACTTTATTTTGAACACCCACTTCACACCAATAGTTTTGTGTCCATTTGGAAGATCAGTTAACTCCCAAGTATCATTCCTCCCAAGTACCATTTTTCTTCTTTGACAGCACTCTCAAAAGTCACGGGATGACATTCTGAAAACAAAGCAAAGTGAGTAATTGGATCTTCAATTCCAGTTACCTCATAATCTTCCATCCAAGCAGGCCTTCTTCTAACACGACGAAGAGATTGAGTTCCTTCTTCGTTAACTCCAACTACTGTTGGTGAGGATTGACTAGCTGAAGAAATTGCAATGGACGAATTTTCAGGCATACTAGATGCTGAAATTTGTTCTTGTTCAGAATCAATATCACAAAGAACTTGGGTAGGCTGCTGCATATTCCAATCCCAAATGTTTTCTTCATCAAAAACAACATCCTTGCTAACCACAAATTTTTTTATCAGTGGATTAAATAATTTATATGCTTTAGATGTATCACTTACACCTAGAAAGACACATTTTTCAGCCTTGTCAACAAGTTTTTTTTTTCTTTTCTGATCCGGGACATGAGCATATGCAATGCATCCAAAAATTATAAAGTGATACACATTTGGTTTTCTCCCACTCCAAGCCTCTTCTGGCGTCATATTTCGAACTGCAAAGGTTGGACTTCTGTTCAAGACATGAATGCACCAGTTTACTGCTTCTGGCCAAAACGTCTTTGGAACTCTTCATCTTGCCAACAAGCTTCTAACCATATTGAGGATGGAAATCTTCTAACACGACGAAGAGATTGAGTTCCTTCTTCGTTAACTCCAACTACTGTTGGTGAGGATTGACTAGCTGAAGAAGTTGCAATGGACGAATTTTCAGGCATACTAGATGCTGAAATTTGTTCTTGTTCAGAATCAATATCACAAAGAACTTGGGTAGGCTGTTGCATATTCCAATCCCAAGTGTTTTCTTCATCAAAACAACATCCCTGCTAACCACAATTTTTTTGGTCAGTGGATTAAATAATTTATATGCTTTAGATGTATTACTTACACCTAGAAAGACACATTTTTCAGCCTTGTCATCAAGTTTTTTTCTTTTCTGATCCAGGACATGAGCATGTACAATGCATCCAAAAATTCTAAAGTGATCCACATTTGGTTTTCTCCCACTCCAAGCCTCTTCTGGCGTTATATTTCGAACTGCAAAGGTTGGACTTCTGTTCAAGACATGAATACACCAGTTTACTGCTTCTGGCCAAAATGTCTTTGGAACTCTTCCTCTTGCCAACAAGCTTCTAACTATGTTGAGGATGGTTCTATTATTCCTCTCTGATACACCATTTTGTTGTGGTGTATACGCAGTTGTAAGCTCTTTTCGGATGCCATGTTCTTCACAAAAAACTTCAAATTCTTTTGAGCAATATTCACCACCACGATCTGTGTGAAGTGTCGGAATCATCCTTCATGTCTCATTCTCCACACGAGCTTTGAAATTTTTAAATGTAGAGAAAGCTTCTGACTTTTCCTGTAAAAAATAAACCCACGTTTTTCTAGAAAAAGCATCAATGAAGGTGATTAAATATTTTTTACCTCCATTAGAAATTGGATTTATTGGAGCACAAATGTCTGAATGCACCAATTACAAAATTCTCTTTGCTCTCCATGAGTTCCCTTTTGCAAATTCAGATCGATGTTGTTTGCTAACAACACATTCTTCACATACTAAGGAATGAGGAATTGTGATTTGAGGGAGGCTTGTCACCATATTTTTCTGTTGGAGCGTCTTCAACCCACTAAAGCTCAAATGGCCATAGCGAAAATGCCATAACCATGAAGGATCTTTCATTTCAGCCATTAAACTAGATTGGATTCCTTCAATCTTTAATGGAAACAATCTGTTTGAACTCATCTGAATAACAGCAATAGCACCTCTAGCAGAATCATATATTTCACAAACACCATTTTTAATAGTGATCACATAACCCTTTTCTTGTAATTGGCCAGCACTCAATAAATTACTTTTCAAATTAGGAACATACAATATATTAGATATTGTTTCCACAAAACCATTCTTCGTTTTTATTTTAATGTCACCTTTTCCCATTACTTTCACAGTAGAATGATCACCAAAACTCACAGTAGATTGAAAATTTTCATTCAGATGAGAGAAAGAAGACTTACTACCACTCATGTAGTTGTTGCAGCCAGTATCCACATACCAAACATCTGGCTCAATTTTCTTTTCATCTTTAGCAACCATCAATAAGGTTTCACCTTCCTCCTTTTCTGCAAAGTTTGAACTTTCTCATTTTTCTTTGCTATTTGGCAGTCTAGTATAACATTCAGATTGATAATGACCAAATTTATGACACCTGAAATATTCTACCTTGGATTTATCAGGGGCTCCTCCTCTGCCTCTGCCTTGAAATTGATCCTTATTGGCTCTGAAATTAGTGGACCTTCCTCTGCCTCTACCTCTACCTCTACCCCTTCCTTGAAAATTGTTGGAACGAGTATCGGTAGAAGCCTTTAATGCTTGCTCATCTGTGTCTTCCTGTTTGAACTTCTGTTCATGCACCACCAATGAGCTCTGCAATTCATCAAGTGACAAATCATCTATATCTTTAGATTCTTCTATAGCACAAACAACAAAGTTAAATTTTGTTGTTAATGATCGAAGAATTTTTTCTATGACAGTTATTTCTTCAGTCCTGTCTCCATGAATTCGCATTTTATTGAAAATGGTAATCATGCGAGAGAAATAATCTGCAATTGATTCTCCCGACTTCATTCGAAGTTTTTCGAATTCCGAGCGTAAAGCTTGAAGCTCTTTGCTCTTGCAGAGCCTTGATACTTCTTTTTCATGGAGTCCCAAATATCCTTGGAAGTTTCTTTGGAAAGAATGGTTTCCAAGATAGAACGGTCAATGGCATGGAAGAGATAATTCTTCGCCTTCAAATCCTTCAACTTTACCGCTTCATGAGCTGCTCGTTGTGCTGCTGTCAACTGAGCTCCTTCTGCTAGTGTTGGTTCAACAACGCCATTGGTAACTACATCCCAATATTCCTTGGATCGAAGGAAGTTCTCCATTAGCATGCTCCAATGGTCATAATGACCATCAAGACGTGGAATGGCTGCTTGCACAAAATTAGAATCTGTGGCCATGACTCTTCACTTTTTTTTTCACACATCTATTCCCTGACGTGTTTAACTCTCAACCTGGCTCTGATACCACTGATAGAATATTGACTCAAATTGAAACACCTAACAAATACTGAAAAAGGGAATACAATATTTCTTCAACACATCAACACCCTCATAACACCACTAATTAACTACTCATAATGTCATAACGTCAGCCATTATGTCCTAATAAACATAACAATTTAACTTCATAACTCACATAAGAAAAATCAAAAGACAATTAACTCTTCAATATTGTAACTGACCTAAGAAATTAACTAAAAAGACTTCAACAAAATAAACGTTTCAGAAAATTCACAGAAAAATTGAAAAATGTACACAATATATAAAATACATTAATTTTTGCAAAGATTTATTTCTCTTTTGTAAACTTGTATTAGAATTAAATTAATACAATGGTTTTTAAAAATATGGAAATTCATCTACATAATTTTAAATGTTGAGGCGTTATTTCACATAAAATTGTGAAAACATGTGTGTGTATGTTTGGGGGGGGGGGGGTTGGGGTTGTTTTGAGGGGTAATACTTATGTTTCTTCTGATTTATAATAAGAGAAAATTGTCTGTACTCAAGTTATGTCATTTCACTCGATGAGATCTATATCTTTATTTTTTTTTTGTCTACTCTCTCTTCCATGATCTATTTTTTTCTTTCATTTAAAATAATACCACTTTGTATCCTTTAAAATGATACACGTTTTTCCCTTATAATAATATTCTTCATTGTGTCGGGGTCTATTCACTATTCAATTAAAATTTAACAGTTTTCCTGATGACATATTTTATCTATTCAAAATCTTGGTGAAAAGTCTAATCCAATTCTATTCCAAAAAGACTTTGGTTGAACCACTTGGTCGAAGTGCCGGATCAATAGGTCTTGGTTAATTCAGTGGGTTATTGCTTGAATTACTTAGATTAAATATATATAAAAATATATAAATAGAAGTAATATGATAATCAAATTAATTTGGTTTAGTAGTTAGTATTTTATTGTTCTTGTCAATTTTAAATCCTAAGAGTGTAACTGAGATGGAATATTTTGTCGAAATAATTTTGACTTAGTGAAATTTTTCAAAAATTAATTTAACCAGAAAACTAGTATTAGATTATCACCGGTTGAACCCAATTATTGACCCATTCACAAATTCATGACCCAATTATATGCATGATTAATTAATTAATTGAACCAGATCATTTAGTGATCCAGTCAGTGGCGGACCCAGGAAAAAAAATTTATGTCCGCACAATCAGTGGCGGGGTTCGGGGGCAGCGCCCCAGAATTTTTTTTTTTATATAAAAGTTTAAATCAACGCTTGAACCCGCTCATAATCTAGTTGCTTCCATAACAAGCTGCAGACAATAGTTTGACCAATTATTTTCCCCCTAAATCTTATCAATCCTTCAAAACAAATATGAGAATATACTCCAGTACATCCATACATCATCATTCTATTTTGGGATATGTTATTTTACCTAACATTTTTCTGCCTACCTTTGCCTACCACTCTCCAATACCGTTAGATCAAAATCTCAAGAAGAGAGAAAAAGATAAATGTTAGTTAAGATTCTGATCTAACGGTGTTGGAGGGTGGTAGGTAGAGGTAGGCAAAAAAATGGTAAGTAGAATAACCTATCCCTTCTATTTTATAGTGGTGAATAAAAAAGTTAACACTACCTATACAGAAGTAAAACAAAATCACAGTGAAGGTCTCGTCTCTAGATATTAACTTATTTGAGAATGTCAGACCTACAATCAATCATCTCTTTTTATAAAAATAAAAAAGGAAACAAAGGATGAAGAGAACGTGGAAATGAGTACGTGACAAGGAAGGAAGAATAAGTTTTCTTTCTAATCAATGTGCGTTGTTACGTTGTTTTAATTATCTTCGTACGTTGTTACGTTGCTAACTAATATAAGAATAAATATCCTTTTTGGTCCCTAAAAAAAATTTGGTCCTCACTTTAGTCCATTATAAAAAAAAAATTAGTCACCTGATCCCTATGGACCCACTTTGGTCTTTCTGTGGGACTAGTGTAGGTCTTTTTTGAATTTGTGATGGACCACGATTTTAATTAAATTGATCTATTTTAAATTTTTTAAGGACCTCGAGACTAATTTTTTTTTGTAAAGGACTAAATTGAGAATCATGTTTTTTGTTAGGGACTTAAAAAATTATTTACTCCTAATATATATATTGAATCAAGAGACAAATAACAATCTACAAAAAAAAAAAAAAAAAAAAAAATTAAAATCAAAAAATTTATGACCGCACTTGCCGGCATTTGCCCGCAAGTGGGTCCGCCAATGGATCCAGTGACTGTCTGGGTTGGACTGATTTTAATAACACTACAAAAGTATTAAAAAGTAAAAAGCCAAAATGATTAAAAAAAAACAATAAACATGTGATGGCATTTTAATTAAATTCAAGTGGCCTCAATTCATTTGCTGCATTTGCACATATTGCCGATTCTAATTCGCCCGCGGTTGATTGCCATATTCCAAGGGCTGGTAAATGTAATATCATCATCAAACGGAGCTCTCGCAACCAAAAAGGAAATATTCTTTTTTTCCTTAAGCATCTGTTCCCGAGAATAAAAAGATTTCCTAATTTTAAACTGCAAAAAAATTTACAGCCAGAGTCTCTATTGACCCCCTTATATATATATATATATATATATATATATATATATATATATATATTAGAGATGCTAGGAAGAAGAGTAACTTAAATAGATACTTCCAACGTCAACATTATTCTTTAAATAAGATTTTCTTTATTTAAAAAAGACCTGAGTTGGTTTCAATTGAATAACAAGTTTGTTAGCACAACTTTTTGCCTTTTAATATGAATTATTTTCACTCTAAATGTGTATTTATCTTCATAATCAGTTCGATATCTCTTAAAATAGAATTCTAGGTAAACTTTTCATACAGTATTCATCCTTTAATTTTTCACACTTATATTCAAGAAGATATTAAATTTATCCTAAGAAAAAAAAAATGTAGATGAGAGAAAAGAATATGTTTCTTTCTTTCAAGTGGTTGAGTGATTGACTTTTACAAAAATCCACTATGTGCACGTAGAGAAGACAATAGGTATCGCGGTGGGACCAAAATTTTTATTTTTTTAATTGATGCTTAACAAAGTTAGGTGCTCGTCTTTCAAATGCCTTGTCAAGCATAGTCCCATGTTACTAGGTGCTTCTGGATATTTTTTTTTTTTTTTTTTTTGGTATTAGGTATCTTACGTGTTTAAGTTGAAGGGTAATGATATTTATTTATAATTTTTTACATAATTTTTAGCAATCTTTTAGGTGGCGTTTGATTACAAGCTTTTTAACAGATACCTATGCAAATGAAGTTTAGATTTTAGAATAACCACGTTTGTTTCAACCGATTTTTATCAAAAACCATCCATATCATTTGCATGGATTTTTTAACTTTTGATGAGAAAGATTGCTTTTTGCACTGTTGAGAAAGTTAATGTGAGGATGGTTTTTTTGAAAAACCCAGACATCGCACTATTCACACACTTTTTGGACTCTCATTATACCCTCTCGTTGATAATGATATTTTCTTCTTTTTATGTTTATTTGCATTCAAATAGTGCCTGGGGCCTGCGAGTGCGAGCCACCCTTTCATGAAGAAGGGTTATCGCAAAAATGCTTTGCGAGATAGATATAGCTCTTTTTCAAAGACGGGCTAATTATATTTTAAATTTAAAGAAGAAAAGTTAGAATATTAATTCCTTCTGGTTTTAAAAAAAATTCAAACAATTAAGGCTGTGATGTGAGGTGAGGCACACTGGAAGTTGAAAGAGCAGAGATGGCGTTTTCCTTCTGAAATGAAAGCTTCGATTGGTTGCTACTATACTGTGTGTACGCCAAACACAGCTCGTGAAACTCAACACTAAGGTTTGGATTTGATGGCGGAGGAGAGAGAGGAGATCAATGGCGGATTCTCGATGGAATCCACCGAATCGAGGTGGGTTATACAGGAGGACGATGAGGATGCGTCTGATATAGAGGGCCACTATTTGTTTGTTTAGGATAAGGGTATCGGGGATAAAATTGTAATTTTATATCATTTACCTATCTATATTTTTTTTCAAAACCAAACATAGGTTTTCAAAATTTTCATATATTTTCCTGGTAAAATTTTATCCAACCAAATAACTTTTTTTTTACATTTTTCTATCTATCTCACTTTCTTACCATTTCTCTATCAATTCTATTTTCCTACTATTCCAAAAAAATTTCCTCAACCAAACACCCCCTTAGTTATGTAATGAGCATTTGTATTTAGCTTTATTAAATTAATTTTAGGAATCTGAAATCGAAAAATAAAATGTTTTTTAAGTTAAATTTAAATTTTTTAAAAAATAATTATTTCAATATGACCACATTTTGATATTTTATTTTTATTAAAAGATTTGGATATTTGTTATTTTCATAATGTGGGAATTTTTTTTTTGGACATTACAGGGAATTAAACCACACACTTAATACACACTAAACACACTCCACACCACTAGGCTATCCCTAGTGGTGCATAACGTGGGAATCTATTGTATTGTAAATAAATAAAAAACTTATTCGGAGCATCTCAAAATATTTTTAATATGTCTGCTAACAAAAACATGGTTAAAGGTGTTTAATATATGAAAAAAAATATTTATTATTTTAAATAATATAAAATTATGTCATTTTAAATGAATCAATTATGTTTTAATATATATTTAATAATTTTTTATATTTTCTATCCTCCACAAAATTAAAAGAGAGAAAGAGAAAATATTTTGAAAGAAATAGAGGGTAAAAAAAAAACATAAAAATACAATCTTTCATTTAAAATGACAATTTTTTTTTGTATTTTTTCCTTAATATATATATATTTAAATTGATAACTTAATAAATTGGCAATCGAGTTTGATAGAATTGCATCATTCTTCCGTCGTCAATGTGGACTAGTACGTCGTACCAAGATATAGTAAAACAAGGAAAATAATGGTGCAGTTAAGACTTTTACAACCATAGCAGAATTGATCAGTTCTCAAACTGGAGACTTTTCTTTCTTGAAACATGTCTCTTGAAGGAGTGAGTGTAAGGTGGACCACGATGAACCACCCTCTTGCACAGCCACTTTGGCCATCTGAGCAAGTTCCCTCACCTTCTTCCTTGCTTCTCTCCCTTTCTCTTCTTCCATCAACTCCCTCACCTTATTCCTCACTCCTTCCCATTTCACAAACCCTTTGACAGAACCATTGGAAGTTTCAACCCTCAAACCAACCTTTATCTCATCCACAACCATTCTTGCATTCAGAGGCTGCTCTGCCATCATTGGCCAAGCAAGAATAGGAACCCCAGCACATATGCTCTCCAAAACAGAGTTCCATCCACAATGGCTCAGAAACCCTTCCACGCTCTCATGCATTAGTATTTCTCTTTGATCCACCCACTCTCTCACAACCATTCCTCTCCCTTTCACTCTCTCTTCAAACCCATCTGGTAGACCACCCCACTCATCATCCTTTCTCACCACCCACAAGAAATTCACCATCGATTCCTCCAGCCCAATTGCTATCTCTTTTATTTGTTCTTGTGAAATCTCTGCCTGTGACCCAAAAGCCACATACAGAACAGAACAACTCTTCTGATCTAGCCACCTCACCCAAGTTGGTTTCATATCTGATTCGGAATAAATCTTGGGCGTTTGTTCACTCAAACAAAGTGGACCAATGCACCAGTTCTTTGGACTGGACTCTGTGTTCAAATAATCAACAAACTTAGGCTCAAGCTCGTAGAAGCTATTAACCAAAATACCAGAGCTGTTGAGTGTGGATGAGATTGATTTCATGTTGAACACGTTTTCAAGGCTATCTGGTTCTCTGTTTCTGAACGCAGGATCAAAGTCTTCCTTACTGAGCCTGATCCATGGGAAACGAGTCAAAGTTACTAACTCATCGTCGGGCTGTGACCCACTAAAAATCCCTGCTTTCATCGCTTCCATGGAAAGGCAAAGGCTGTAACAGTTCATGCCGAAGTAGACAAACCTGGGGACACTGAACTTGGTGGCTGACTCTAGTGTCCACCAGAGGAAACCATCGGTGACCATGAAGCTGACACGTGGAAGAGTCTTGAGGGCTTCTTCGAAGTGTGGCTGCATGGCTTCGGTGGCCATCGCGAACTTGCAGAACAGACATATGGAAGGAAGCTTGTCGGTGCTCTCTATTCCGTTGGGGATGTCGGAGGCGATGTTTTCTGGGAAGGGAAGGGTTATTATGGTGGCGGCGGTGCCGTTGAGAGACTCTGCAATGAATGGGCGGTTGGCAGGGGTGGTGAAGACGGTGACCGCCGTGTCGCGGCGATGGAGGAGGATGCGGGCGAAATGGAGAAGGGGTATGGTGTGGCCTTTGGACATGAACGGAAAAAGAACAACATGTGGAGGACATGAGCTGTCGGAAGGGATTAAACCCATTGTTTATTTTCTTTGGGAACTTGTTTGCCTGGCTCATGTGTATGAGCTTGCAGTTTCGAAACATTTATAGACACAATAAAGGGTTTACTGTTTCTCAATTTTGTTTTTATCTTCTACACACATACCACATACTTTTATATATACGACAAACGTTAATTTCCATGATAAATGTAGATTAAGAGCATGGGTTTGTGGTTAAACTGGTTGTCATTTTAGACAAAGTTTTGGGTTTTGACTTTTGACTTTTGAGCTGGGGTGTTAGCTGGCATATATATTTTGTCATTTACTTAATTAATGGTATTTAAGACGGTTTAATGAATTCATATATATTTCTTAATGGACCGCCATCATGAAATTTAATTATTTTATTGTAAAATATTAACACGAGAGTATGGTTGATTAGCTTATGGTTGTTCAGGTTGAGAGACAATGGCTTGCTTCTTTTGTTCTTCATAAACTGCAAAAAACTTTACAGTTCCTTTGAGTGCTGCTGTTGCTCATATGATTCGTGTTCCTTTCAACTAATCAGAATCAAGGAGCTCTTCTTGAAAGAATTTTTGCAAGTATGGAAGTCGAGATCTCTTCGTGAACTTAAAAGCAATTAATGTTGCCATCCAGAAGCTGTACAACCTGCACCAATTGGTCAATTGCCAAATAATGATCTTTGTTACAGCTTACACAGACAAAGACCCTTTTGTTTTGTACCTAAAGGTTTCATGTTCCTGGGCCTTAATTTACATTTATAGCCGTGAAGGGTCACATGAATAACAGATTTAACATTGAGGGATAGAAACTCATTTTCCAAATAAAGATTCACCTTAGTTTTGCTCACATCTCATAGCTAGAATAAAAAAGATAAATTTCAATATTAAAATTAAGTTCGGATGAAATTTTAAAAGGACTAGAGAACGTGCCTGTCTCATAGAGGGACGACGAATTGAAGATTTTTGAATGCATAAAGAAGCTGCCAAGAGCATAATATTAATCTGCCGACAGTCAAAGTCATTGGCTAGTGAAGGATCAATCAGCTCCCTAATATCATTCTTTTTCAGCAAAGGTTTTGCCTACAAAAGTGTTAGAAGAAGAAAAAAAAATTACCCAATAATTATCTTTCATAACAGAAGGTCAAACAAGGCTTTGTTTTTTTTTATTATTTGGGTTAAATTGCACAACATACCCACAAAACAAGGCTTTGCTGTGAGTAATCAAGTGCTCGCCGCCCAGTGGCTAATTCTAATAGCACTACACCAAAGGCAAATACATCTGTTTTCTCGTCTACTATGCCATGAAGCAAGTATTCAGGAGCAAGGTAACTGTGGCAGTCATAATTCGAAACCTGAGTTAATAATAACAAGTTACAAAAATGTATAGCAGAAAATCATTTCTGAAGGTCACAAACCCAAAAGTTCCTTCAAATTTTGAAACGGTGTGATGAGTCCATTTCTCTGGTAGCCATTTTGCTAGCCCGAAATCACAAATCTGCACAAAAATTTCTTAACGTTTTAAATTCCACTTTATTCTTAAAATACTATGCAGAACTAAAGTCCACTCATGCATTAAACTTATAAAATATTGCAATTCATTTGAGGTGGATTAGAGTACTCACGGAAAAAGCGACAGGTTACTTAATTTCATCCCCAACAAAAAAATCAGGAATCTTCCAAAAATTGTTTGTCTTTAGGGGCCATACAAAAGGCCAAAAATTAAGCTGGAATATGTGGTGATCAATTATAGAATCAAACTTGTGTAAAAGAATCCAAAGCCATATCCATACCTGTGGTTCAAAGTCCTCAGTAAGCAAGATATTAGCAGCTTTGATATCCCTATGGATAGTTCTTCTTTGACAACCTTCATGAAGATATAATATACCCTCAGCTATTCCTAATGCTATTTTCTGCCTAATAGGCCATGGTAGTTTCTCCTTGGAACCTAGCAGCAAGGAAGAAAGAACAGAAAATTTTACTGCAATGGTAAAAATTGGGTCAATAATGAAGTAAAATAGGAAGGACATAAAGTCATTAATCTCTACCACTAAGCATTGAAGCTAGGCTTCCTTTTTCAGACAATTCAAGCACTAGATGCATTCCTCCTTCCACACCATAGCCAACCAATTTAGCAGTATTGGGATGGTTCACATGCGCCATTATGCCTAGTTCTGATAAAAAATCCCCTATGATTTCATCAGTTGTTCCTCGTGTTAGTCGTTTAATCGCTACTAGCTGATGATTTGGCAAACACCCTTTGTAAACATCAGAATAACCACCCTTTCCAATCAAATTTTCTGCACCAGCCAACATAGAATTCTAACTAGGTAACTGAGTTTGTAACTTAATGAGAATACTAAATTCTGAAGCATGTTGCATACATACCTTGGCTGAAATAATTGGTTGCGATTTGTATCTCATGCTGCGTGAAGATCTTCCACGGTGAAATGTGCAAGGACGAATCTGCATCTATGCTACAACTTGGAAGTATAGTCTCCCTCATGCTACTGCTCATTCTTCTTGAGAGCTTGAGGACACTTAGAGGATGCAATGTGGCTAAGGGCTTCTTTGATTTGGTCCTCAACAATTGAAGAAATGCATGCCACTTAGAACCAAGTTTTGACTTATCTTGAGACTCAGAATCCACAGTGGGTTCTCTTGAAGAACTTGTTTCTGACTCTGAGCTCCTGAAATTGTCCTCAAGAACACCAACAGGGGAATCCACCTCGTCCTTCATTTTTGAGATCCACAAACCCAGAACCCTCCTAGTAAAGAGAATAAATTACAAATCCACCACCAAAGTAAGAAACTTCATGAGGCAGGAGTAACATATATAGGTGAAGGAACACATAAATTGAAGGGCATTGTGGGGAACACATAAATAAAACTGTCAACAGAATTTCCTAGTAAATAATTTAAAAAGTGATTGGTTCCGTGTAAGAATGAACAAAGCCTGAGGGATTAGTGAAAGCAACAAGAGGAGACCAAATTTCATAGAGACCCAGAAGAGAGAGGACAACAAATTATGTATCAGAACAGTTGCACTGAAATCACTCTGCAAATTAAAAAAGGATGACAGAAAATCAATCAAACACGGTGTGAATAAAAGAAGTTGGGTAGCTAGAATGCCATGGAGAAAATCTCATATTTTTATTTATTTTTGTTTCTAATGAGAGTTGTAAGAGAGAAAAAGAGAGGGTAGGGAGACCAAGAGACAGTAGAGTGAATAGAGATGTGCAGACATGAGACATGAAACGTTATTACTTAGCCTTCTCCTCTGAACAAACAACTATCACTGACTTTTTCAATGTTGTCCAGGTGCTGCTTGCAATGTCGCTTTCTAGTTTAAACAATGTTTTTATTATCAATCCACATGAGAAGAGAATGGTTTGATGATAATAAAATAACATGTTAGACTGTTATGTTGGTTTTATTGTTAGTATTAGTATTAGTATTAGTATTATTATTATTATTATTATTATCGCTATGGAATTTGGAATGTTGAGTAGGGAGAAAGAGGAAGTAAATAAAGCTTTAACTCCTTGTCACGGTAGCTTCTTTAGTCAGAGACGCCTCTGTTTTGTGTCTGTGGTCTTCTCTTGTATGCGGCTCGTGAAAAAACATAGTGCTTATGGGCTCTGTCACTGCTTAGAAAGTCACCCACCTCCCACTTGGCTTCATTCACATTTAATGTATATATAAAAAATGCTAGAAATATATAATTTTGTCTTTTTTTACATAAGATACAGTTCCCACTAACGGATAACTTCCACTAGCTTATGTGTAATATCAATAATAAAATGTAAATGGACCCCATTATCATTTGTCACTTGCGTACATAATCAGCCTCGAAGCAACGTAGCGTACATAACCTACAAATTCCGGGAAAAAAGGATTTAAAAAAAAAAAAACTTGATTCGATATCATTTCAGCGTAATTAACACAATCACTATGCACAAACCAAACCCCTCAGCCAAGAAACTGCACTGCAGCACTCAATTATTATTATTGCTTTTCATTCTTCACCACCAAATCAACTATACGAGGGTCCACAGTTCATTGATCATAACTACGTATAGTTTCCATGTATTATATCATAAATATTTCCCCCCCTCTCTTTACCCCCATGTATTTCATATGTGCATATATGAAATATATGGGATTGCTTGAGATTTAAGCAGTGTCAACATTCATTTGGTTAAGGACTTAAGGTTGGTGACTCTTACCCATCAAGCTTCAGAATTCGACTTTTTCATTCGTTGGAGGGTTTAGTCAGATTAAACTATTTAAGGGTTTTATAATTCTCATTCAACATGAGAATTAAAATTTTTCTACACACCCTTTGATTTCCGTGCTGACATGGGTCTTACATATAATTTTTTCTAACACATGGGTCTCACATGCTTTTTATCTCTACAACATGAGAATTGAATTCTCATTCAACATGAGAAAATCAAACCCCAACTATTTAAATACATTTATGCATACCTCACCTCACGTCACTCTTCTTTTTTACATATTTATACTTTGATTCTATCATATACCTTCAAATTTGAGATGGTATGTTTCTTGTAGAAAGAATCATATTTCTTCAACTATGTCACTACCCAACAACTCTATTCTTGTACATTTTCTCTTCAGTGTGAAAGACACGAACAAGTTGATTTTTTATATCAGACACGACAAGCTTTAACGGTTTTCTTTGTCCAGAAACTGACTGAATACCTTATTTAAATATTTTGTTTTTCCAACCCCATGCCCCCAAAAATAATAATAAGAAGAAGAATAAATAAAAAAAGAATAAAAATACAAGCTTCACTGCTGAAATAATAAAATTTCGACTTGAAAAATTAAAAAAAGTCTCGGACTTTCTTCCCCTTGCCTTGCAAAGTTGCAGTCAATAACACTACCTTCATGTTTAAATTTTTTTTTTTATTTTTTGTATTTATCGTCATGTTTAATTTATTTCTGAATGTTTGCGCTAAAACCATTATTGACCACGTTTGATTGGATATAATTGACTAATCAAACATGAATTAATAACGATTCAATCATATATAGTAAGATGATTTATTTATGCTCAACTTCTTCACGCTGTTTATAAGCTAATCCAAACAATAAAATAACATGCATGTTTCAATTTGGTTATGTTTAATTGAGTCTCAGAGTTCAGATGTTTTTTCTTAATGTGAATCAGAGTTGAACATTCGAAACTTAATTAGGAGGAAGTAAAACGAATGGGTTTTCTGAATAAAGAAATGCACACTGGCTCTGTTTAAAATTGTGAGACTGTGATTTGTATAATCGCGAGAGCTTCCGTTTCTGATAGTGTATACACTTTTACAATGAA